AAAAAAAACCCACATTTTCTTGATCCAGTCTCCAGTTGATGGGCATTTGGGCTGTTTCCAAGTTTTAGCTATTACAAACTGCGCTGCTATGAACATGGGTGCACATATATCACCTAGATATTTTTAATACCAAATTTGGTCCATGAACCCTGACCAAAAACCCATTTCCTTCTGAGTTGATTGTGTTCTGTATATTTGAAGGCAAAACATTACTAGTGATGCATATGTCTCTCTGGATCCTTTGCATATATGTTTTTTATTTTGACTTATAATAAGCTTCTGATAGGTAAGAACTTTCTTATAGACTAAGACTATAAAGTACTGTATTTTTCTATGAATAGAATGAAATGTTTAGTAAAAGTTCTCTTTGGATGAAAATAGAAAAGGGTAGATGGGCATTTGTGAATGGTTGAACAAATGAAAAAATTCAAAGAATCACTGCATCCTTAGTGATGACCTAAAGCCTTTTCTGTATATTCTACCTGTGTTATAGAACAGGAAGCAGGCACAGACATTAGTAATTGAGGAGTCCCAGATTGATTTTGGGTCTGCTAAAGAGTGTCATCTGAGACAACTTCAGCAACTGAAGAAAAAACTGCTGGCCCTTCAGCAAGAACTGGAGTTTCGCACAGATGAGTTGCAGACTTCCTACTGTTCTCTCCTGCAGTATCAGTCCATCCTGGAGAAGCAGACTTTTGACCTGGTTCTTCTTCACCATCACTGCAAGCTGAAAGAAGATGAGGTATTGCTATACTAACTATAGAAATGTCCACATGCCCACCGACCTAGAGAAATCAGGACAGCAATCCAACCCTGAGAGAAAGTAAATGCTAGATTTAATGAAGAGAGCTTCACCACATCTTGAGCAGGCTTTATAAATTTTCCCTCTTTGATTCTTGATCTTTTTGAAGCTAAGCAGAAAAAAAACTAAACATAATGCCACAACTGGGTTAGATCTCCAGAGTTAATGCATGTAGGACATGTGAGCTGCATGTCCGGGCCTATGTGTATCACTGTGTGTACATATGAGTCCATCCTCTCCAATCTATTACCATTGCAAATGAAATGCAAAAGACTCTAAGTCTCTGAGGGTTATTTAAAAAGATATAAGGTCCATTAAATCAACTATTTTTAGATAAATCAGGTCTTGATGATATATAAATTCCTGGCATCTGCACAGTTGATAAGAAAACTGACAGTGAATCTGAGTCAATCACTGAGAGTGCCAGATCATTTTTTCAGACTGGAGTTTAGATCCTCTAGAATTAGCCTAAGTATATTCTGGGCATTCATTTATATTCATGTTCCAGACAGTATTTTTTAAATAGTAGCATCCCTATAGAATCCCAAGTAAATTCCAAACATCCAAAGCTACAGAACTAAAACCAGTTGAACATTAACAGAAATAATATCATGGTTCTGAGTAATGGGGACAGCTGACTTCTATCTGGGGCTTCCCTTGGCATTTTCTTTCTTCAGATTTAAGGGAAATTCCAAGAAGTGTTTTAGACAGTGTTGTTCTATAGGGACCAACTGCAGGGACTTTATGAGGGGCCTTAGAAAGCAGAATTTTTTAAAGGGAATATTATGCCTGAAGGAGAATTTGCTAGAAAGCATTGGGAAGGGAAGGAACAAAGAAAGGTTACCCTAAAAAATGTAATCTAGGACAAAGCCTATGAGCATAAACTATGGTTTAATAAAGCTAATGTGGAGGTATTATAAAAATGGCTGGTTCACTCTAACTTAAACAAGAAAGTCCAGCCTAAATAAAGCAACCCTAGATTCACTGAAATAGCACATAGTTGCAAAGAACAGCAAATAAATCACAGTTTACTTCTGTGTCATATAAAAGAAGATCAGAGACAGGTGATTATTACCATAATGGCAACTGCATGTGTCACATCAGCTCAAGGCTTCCTCTAGGTCACCTGGGGTGGCTATTGGAACTCCAGCCATCATATTCTTGTTCCACAATCCAGGTGAAGAGGGGGGTGGGAAGAAAAGCACACCCTTTCTTTTCAAGGACACTTCTCAAAAGCCCCCACACAACACTTACATATCACTGGCCAGAATTAGTCACATGGCTACAGTTAGTTCCTAGGAACCCTAGGAAATAGAGTGCTTCAGGAGGTGTACTGCCTCTCCCAATAAAGACAAGGTTCTACTGGGGGAGGGGGGAACGGTGCAGCAAACAGATATGCAATTCAGCAAGTAGTAGTCATTGTCACAGATTTTGAACTGATAAAGCATTGCAAATTTGATTTAGGCCTTCTGACAAGTTCCTCCAATGCTTTGTTACACAGAAGCATCAAACTTTTACCTACCTGGGTTCTGTCAACAGCAGACCCCACAGTGGTGGCTAACCTATGGCACACATGCTGCAGCAGGCTGTTTGTTATCCCTTAAAGCTTGCCATCGCTGGTAAGACCACAATGTGAGTACAAGGGTGAGTTAATTCTGGAGGCGATTCCAGAAAATTTGCAGGGAGGTGAGTCAAAGAAAGGCAGGAAGTACATGAAGGAAGTTGCTATGGATCAAATACAACTGGGGTTTGATGCTTCTGGGGAGCTCTGGGAGATACTAGAACATATGTCAGAGTGAACCCACCGACCCACACCAGTCATTGCTAAGGGCTTCTCCTAGAGATGTTAACTCCCCAGCACATCTAACCTCCCATGCCTTAGTCTTCTGAATAAGTGAGCTCCTGGGCCAGAGAAGCCCGCAGGCAGTCAAAAATGGTTGCAGTTGAATAGGTTTAGTGTGCAAAGAAATAAGTGTCAAGGGGATGTGAGTAGGCCACTGACAACTTCTGTTATAAACATTTGAATATAAAATACTCCTCACCTCTTCCTCTTACCTAATAAACACCTTAAACTAAATGACCTTTTCCTAAGAAGAATCTCAACTATTAGGCAGCAAGTATAATCAGCTTAAAACTAATGGAACATGTTCTATCAGAACCGGACTATTTGAACAAATATGAAGCCTTCCTCAAAGGATTCTCCTATTAACCCCTTGAACACACACATTTCGAGTCATATAATTTAGTGCACTCAATTATATACAATTTGCTAATTTTAAGTCTTATGTCCTGAAAATTTTAAGTTTTAAACTCTTTGAGAGGTAGCCTGTGTCTCATATGTATGGATTCCCTCTGCATTCAACACAATGTTCACAAGCTTTCAATAAATATCTGTCAATTGGATGACTAATTGATTAGAAAGGAAAGAAACCTAAGTAAGGATTATGCAAATCTCACAGGAACTTTGGGTCATGCTCCCCAATATCTCTTGGGAACATTACTGATGTGGACCTGTGTGAATGAAGGGCTCTACATTTTCCAAATTAGATCTCTAGAGAGTGCTTAGGAAAGAAAGAATGCTGGAATTTCAAGCCTTAAAAATATGGAGCAGTACAAATCCATTCCTATTAATCAATAAGTATTTATTGACTCCTACTACATTCTGAACAAAGTGGGTAATAGACATGGTCCCTGCTTTTAAGAAGCTTGCCTCCAAATAAGACAATTTTCTTAATTTCTAATCATTCACATCTTGATATCACATACGGGAGCTTTTAGGTCTGTACTTTATTATGTTCATCTGGGTTTCTAGTTTCAATATAGGACCACTCTGTACAGGGTCTTAAAACCATATTCTTTCCTCATTAGATGTTTCCAAGGGTTCAGTATGGTTTCATTCTTACACTAACAGGTGATTCTCTATGAAGAGGAAATGGGAAATCATAATGAGAACACAGGAGAGAAGCTTCATTTGGCACAAGAGCAGCTTGCCTTGGCTGGGGACAAGATTGTCTCCCTAGAAAGAAGCTTAAACCTCTACAGGAATAAATATCATACTTCCCTAAGCAACATTGAGTTACTGGAGTGCCAAGTGAAGATGTTAGAAGGGGAGCTCAGCGGGCTCATCAGTCAGGTAGGACTTGAGCAGACCTCACAGTCCACGAGTTCCTGCGAGCTGACATGCTCCTAAGTGGCTTGCTCTTGTGGTCCCAGCCTCCTGCACTGGAAATTCAATTTCCTGCCCTTGAGTTTTGTAGCCATTAGCTCTTGGATTTCTAGCTTTTGCATCTCCTTTATGATTACTCGTTAGAAGTTTTGAAGCTGCTTAATGAATACAAAGCACTTCCATTTCAAATAAGGCAGAAGAATTACCAAATGAACCCCCTAGTCTTCCATGTTCTCATGGAGGTCAGGCAATGAGCTCTTCCGGGTCACAGGCTCATGCGGACCATGACTTCAGGATCAAGCAGGAGGAGAAAGTCATAAAATTTTTCCATTCCATGGGAAAGAAGAGCCAAAAGACCAGAATTTTCTTCTTTTTTCTTGTAATTGCTTCTCAAGTTACACAAATAATGCAATTATATAGGCTCCCCAGACAGAAATATGGAGAGTAAATGTGAAAGTCTGTCTTCAGCCTCTTCCCCCTCCTTTTCCTTAGGTAATCACTTGAATAATGTGTTAGAAATCTTCCCAGGACTTCTATATGGTTACATTTACAAAAGATAGAGTTCTCTTTGTACATACATTATGTGGACATTAGAAATAAGGTTTTATGACTTGCTTTTAAAGTGCACATCTTAATTTCTTTTTGTCGCTGCCTTGTGTGTGGTTTTTTGTTTTTGTTTTTGTTTTTTGGTACTGGGGATTGTGCTTGTGAGGCAGGTGGCAGAACCACTGAGCTAAAGCCCTGGCCCAAAAGATCTTTTCTTTCTAATTTTTTTTTTTTTTTTTTTTTTTTTTTTGGTACCAGGGATCAAACGCAGGACCTTGCGCTTGCGAGGCAGGCAGCAGAACCACTGAGCTAAAACCCCAGCCCTACTACCTTGTTATATAGTATGGATGTACCATCTGTTGACCTTTTGTCCTCTGTTACAAACTGTAGGGGGTGGGGATTTAGCTCAGTGGTTCTGTGCCTGCCTTGCAAACACAAGGTCCTGAGTTTGATCCCTGGTACCGGAAAATAAAATGTAGAACAAACTTTAATAAGCATTTTTATTTCTAGAGAATAATTCCAGAAGTGAGATTGCTAGATCAAAGCATATGCTTATTTTCAATATTTAAAGTTACTTCTAAATTGTATACCAAGAAGGTTCTACCAGTTTACACTTTTACTAATATATGTAATGAAGAGCTTTTTCTCCATTCTACATGTTTTATTCTTTTTAGGGTGTGCTAAATTTATGGGAAAGAGAGGAAAGTATGTTTTCTCATTACAATTGTCATTTTCTTAGGGCTGGGGATTTAGCTCAGTGGCACTGTGCCTGCCTCAGAAGCACAAAGTCCTGAATTTGATCCCTGGTACCAAAAATAAATAAATAAAAAGGTGTGAAATATACAATTGTCATTTTCTTTTTTTTGTTTTTGTGGGACCGGGGATTGAACTTAGGGCCTTGTGCTTGTGAGGCAGGCATGGTGCCACTGAGCTAAATCCCCAGGCCACACAATTGTCATTTTCTTTAGTTCTGCTAGTTGCTAGTTGGGTTCCCCAGGAAGAAGACTCCAACACAGGTTAGCATGCAGGACATTTTAGGGAGGGCTGTTAGTATTAGCACCTGTGAAAGGAAAGAGAAGGAAGTATGGCTGGGCTGTAAGAGAGAGGTGAGATATGATCTCACAAAGGCCTCAGCCAACCCCATGGCGAGATGAGGGGCTAGAGGAATCTTCAGAGTTGTCCTAAGTTGAGGGAAAAGCACCTGGCCTTTGTACCTCCCTGTTAATCAAGTATTGGCTATCGGCCACCCCTAGGTAGACAGATGTAACCCTGGGTAAAGCAATCTTCTTCAGCCCAGGCAAATCCTAAAAAGAACTGATGGCTGGCAGCTGCCCTGGCAGCCACTCGGGCAGTAAGTCTTTTATTGAGCAAGGGGCTCTGGAGGAGCATCACAGCCTCTACCACATGGAGGAGACGACGAGCACTGTCCACGTTGTGGAGTTTTACTTTACAAATTACTTGTTTTAATTCTTACCCCATTTTTAACTGGGTTAGTATTTTCTATATTGATTTATAGGACTTTCTTAACATATTATAGGTAATCTTCCTTCATTACATATGCTGCAAATATTTCCCCCAGTCTGTAACTTTTCATTTTACTTTATTAATATTATTTTTCACCACACAGAATTTTTTAGTTTTTATCGAGTTGAATCTGTCAGTTCTTCTTATAGATTCTAGGCTTTATGTCTTGATAGGAAGTTCTCTATTCCCAAGATTATAAACGTTTATCTCGTATTTTCTTTTAGCACTTCATAATTTTGCATTTTTATGTTTTTATCTTTAATCCATCCAGAATATAATTTTAATATACTTTTAATATTTATATAATGAGATAAGGCTCTAATTTTATGTTTATCTAAATGAATCTCCTGTGGTCCCCAGACCATTAATTGAACATTCCGGCTTTTCCCTACTGACTCAAATACCAACTCATAATACTGATTCCTCTGTACATATAGTTCTTTCCAGATTCTATTCTTTTGATCTGCCTTCCAGTTCTGGCACCAATGTCAGAGTTTCCTAGTGATTTTATAACTGATAACATGTTTTGTAGCTCCACTATTCTGTATTTCAAATTTTTCTTTGCCCTTTCTGTACATCTCCTCTTGATGAAATTTAGATTCATGTTGACTGACTTTTTCACTACATATTAACTTCAGGGAAATTGGCATACCCCGTGGAACATGGCATACTTGTACTTTTATTCAAATTTTCTTATGTGCCCTTCAGGAAGATTGTATGCTTTTCTTTATAGAGCTCAGATACTTCTGGCTAAGTTTATGTCTAGATATATTACAGTTGTGCTTTTATGAGTAGGAACTTTCATACATTTAATCTTAAGAATTATTACTGATGTATAGGAAAACATCTCTTACTCTGCCACCTTACTAACTCTTTTAATGGATTTTCAGTTAAACATCTCAGATTTTTCTAAATTGCTTTCACTTTCAAAATTTATACAATAATTTATTTTCCAACTTATTGTATTAACTAGAATCTCCAGAACAACATAAAAATATAGTATCGTTGCCTTGCTCTTCACTCTAGAGGAAATGTTTTCAGTATCTTACCACTAAGTATAATGCCTGTTCTTGGCTTCTTGTTAATACCTTCTTTCAAGTTTAAGGCATTACTGTATCTAGCTTATCAAGAGTTTTATATAAAAATGAGTGTTGAATTTTATCAAATGTTTTTGTTAGCATCTATCCTTTAATGAGGTAGATTATATTTGATCATGATATGTTACTTTAATAAACTTATTTTTATTAAATTTTTTAATCTTTTATTTTTTGCATCTATTTTCAGAAGTTAGATTAATTTTATGGCCTACATTTTTGTGTTCTCATCTCATAGTGATGTATGAATTATGCCATCCTAATATGAATTGGAAAGCTTTTCACCTTTTTTAAATCTCTGAAACTATCCATATAACATAAAAAATGTCTACTCCTTTAGTACTGTAAATAAACCCAACTATAACTTACTACTTCTGCACTCCTGGACTTTTCTTTTTGCTCTAATAATTTCTTCTTAATTCTTTCCAAAACAATTGTGGGTGGCCAAATATCTCAATATCTTTATATCTGAACAAAGTTTATTTTGACATGATTCTTGAATGCTAGTTTGGCTGAATATACAAACTTTCAAAAGTATCTTCCCTTAAGTCTTTATTGCTGTATAGTCTATACTACCCAGTACTAAAGATCAGTTGTTGAACATCAATCTGTTTCTCATTTTCTATAGGTCCTCTGTTTCATCTCTTTGAACTCTGGAATACGTTTTTAGGCTAAGGATGTTTTTAGTTTATTTTTCATTAAGCCTCTCAACACTTAACTGACTTTTAATCGGAAGTTCTACATTTTTCTTCTATTCAGAGAATTTTTCTTCTATTATTTTTAAATCAATTTCCTTTTTCATCCCATAGTATTAAGGAGATATTAGAATCCACAGATATCTTCTTCCTCTTTCTTAACTTTTCTATTATATTTTCAATTCCTTTGCCCTCTTATACACTAAATTATTTATATAAACATCATTTGTGGTAAAGTTTAGATTTCTGGCTGACCTTTCTGCAGCTTGCTCATGGGCAAGTTTCATGCTCAATGAACATGAACTATTTCTAACTTGGCCTGGAAAAGCCCGATTAGGGAAACAAGTTTGATGGGGATGGGATCTACTATCCAAACTAGAACATTTGGCTCTTTTTACACTCTGTGCATCAGTTCACCCTACATTAGAACAGGCCAGTAGAGGGTAGTAACCTTCATGCATGATTTCAGATGATCTAAGAAAAGATATTTTTTAAACAAAAATAAAAAACATAGTTCTTAGAAATCACTCATACTCAGATTAATGAGAGTATCAAATGTTAAAATTTCTTTGAAGGACAATTATACAATATCTATCAAGTTTTAAATATGAATTGTATTCCTACTTTATGAATTTAATCTACACATTTACCAAAGTAGGTACTCAACAATTTGTGTGCAACTGAAGTAGGTACTCAACAATTTGTGTGCAACTGTATTTGTTTCAACTTCATTTTAGGGGAAAAAACTAAAAACAATCTATGTTCTATCATTAAAAAGCTGGATAAATATATTTAAAAGCACTTAAAAAGTACAGTATAGAAGTACATGCACTAATATGTATAAATCTCTAAAATAGCTTAACTTAAGAATCCATTTTTATGTTTTAAAAATCCAATATAATCCATATTTCATAGATTCATCTATATTATGTGACTAGATAAAGTTCTAGAAGGATATGTACAACTTGACATCTCTGGGAAATCGAAAGGGCAGGAGATTAGAGGTAATGATCAAGGAGAAAGTTAGACTTACCTGTAATGTTACGTGTTTTAGAACAATAATATAGACATTATTATTCATGTAACTTGAAATTAATTTTAAGAGTAAAGTAGATCCACAAATAACAATGTGGAGAATATCCTAAGTAAATTGTAACATGAAAACACAATGTTTTGAATAGTGTGTAGAAGATTCTCATTTATGTAAAGAAACAAGAGGGGTTATATAAATACACATATATGTGTATACAAACATGCACAGAATATCCCTGGAAAGATTCCCAAAGAACTAGTAACCCAGACTGTCCTGAGGAGAAGACCTGAGTCTTTTAGGTTGATGTATTTTCTTACGACCTATTTCGACATTTTACTCTATATCTGTAGTAGTTAATTTTTTTTCTTTTAAGGAAACCATATGTTCCATATATCAGCATATACTTTTAGTACATTAGTGTAGAGACTTTCTATGCATATGGAATTCTAATGTCAACTCGCCAACTGTAAATGAAACCAACCCATTATTTTTAAATATCCCAGGAACCAGAGAACACGGGTGATCACCCAAAAGTTCATATATACACTTCTTCCTGCATGATTCAAGAGCATCAGGAGACCCTGAAACAACGCTCTGAAGTCTGGCAAAAGGTCTCTGAACAGGATGATCTAATCCAGGAGCTTCGAAATAAGCTAGCCTGCAGTAATGCTTTGGTAAGTGCCTCATTCCTGAGAGGCCGGCAACAAAGCCATGAGGAAAGAAAGGTGGGAAAGAGTCACTTAAATTAATCTCTTTCACCAAGACTCCTCCAATGTCATATAGACTTGCCCTTCCCTTTTGTTCATATTCTCTATGGCATGCATCGCTCCTACTCATTATTTGGTTTGAGATTCTAAAGATACTTATAGTCTTGCACACAACAACCTAGGTGCTCATCAGTAGATAAATGGCTTAAGAAATTAAGAGAAATGCTCAAAGAGATATGTGTGTTATGGAATGATATGCAGCCGGTAAAAGAATGAAACATCTTTAAGAGCTGCAAGGAAGGATCTTTGTAAGGCTGTGTTGAAAATAAGTGGATAGAATCTTGTGTTTCTTTAAAATCTCTGGTCATAATATAAAACATATACAAATTTTCAATTGTGTCTTCCCTCCCTTAGTAGAGTAGAAGTGAGAGAGGGCAGCAGTGAAGAAGTTTTTGTTTATTTTCAATGCTTGAGTTTTGTCTGAATTATTTTCTACAAATTTAGAAAACCATGAAATTGAAACAAAACTTTCATTTTTTTTAATTTTAAAAAAGAAGTACATATACTATAAGAAACTTCTTAATTCTCAAACCCAGAATCTGAACCTTGTCCTCTGATAGATTAAGTACATGTTTATCATAGCCTCTAGAGAACCTTCTTCTGCCTCATAAAGTACGTCTCCACCAAAGTTCAGGAGAGTCCTTAATGTGGCCATCAATAGACTTAAGACAAATCACTCTCTGTGCCCTAGGAAACTTTGATAGAAGATTGAGATCATAATTCCTTCTCCCTACCAATTCCACAGAAAGTACACAATGAGCTACATAATGATACAACAAACTTATATTGCAGAAAGGAACACCCTGCAAAAATAGTAATAAGACTATGTGACGTTAACCATTCACCCTAACCGACTTATGCTCATTTGCAGGTTCTGGAGCGTGAAAAGGCTTTGATAAAATTACAAGCAGATTTTGCTTCCTATACAGCCACTCACAGACATCCTCCTAGCTCCTCAGAAGACTGTGAAGACATAAAAACGGTGGGAGCTCTCTTACTAATTCATGTCTGGTGGGATCAGGCTGAGCTGGATTTGCTTATGGGGTTTCCTGATTATTTTTTTTTTTGTAATGGAAATTGAACCCAAGTCCTTTGCACTGAGCTATATTCCCAGCCCTTTTAATTTTTTCTTTTGAAGCAGTCTTGCTAAGTCACTAAACTGCCCATGCTGGGTGTGAACTCACAATATTCTTGCCACAGCCTTCCAGAATGCTAGCAATACAGCACCCCATACACAGCTTTACATATTATTTTTTGTTTTTATATTATAGTTTATATTTGTATGATCTTGATTTGCCCTACCACAAGGATAATCTGTATAATATATGGCAAGTTCTAAAGATTGTGACGGCATTAGATTTTGGAATTGCATCTACCTCTTAACCTACTTCTAACAGTACACTTAAACAAGACAGTATTCCTGTTGGTTTCATTGATTCAAAAGGACAATCCAGCCTTCCAGTGTCTGGCTGGAGCTGAAAAGTTACAAATTTATGAGAGATTATTAATGCAGGTTCATTATCTTCTTTAGCAAATTCTGTAAAATTCAAAGCAGTATCATTGACTCAGCTGGGTGCGGTGGGGGCACACTTGTAATCCTAGCACTCTAGATCGATGCAGGAGGATTGCAAGTTTGAGTCCAGCAAGGACAACTAAGTGAGATCCTGTCTCAAAATAAAAGTACAAATTTAAAAAGGGATGGGGATGTAGTTCAGTGTGAAGGCCTTGGGTTCAAGCCCCAGTAGCACCCTAAAAATAATTCTAATAATAAATTAGTAGTTAATCCACATAGACAAATAGTAAAATTTGACAAACCAATCACCAAAATTTACTCAGGTCACCTAAATAAGGTTCTGTCTTCAGTCAGTCAGTCAGTCATGCCTAAACTTAAGGTACATGGCAAAGCCAACCACTGGAGACCATCAGAGCAGGACAGGTGATGGCATTCCTGCATGGGCCAGGACAGGATGCTGTGAAAGGGACAACACAAGCAAAGACAGTAGCAACACATAACGCTCTCCCAGGGGTTCTCCAGTTAGGAGACAGAGACTGCTCATTTCAGGACTTCCAATCCCAGAAAGCTAGATGAGTGAGGAATCAATATCAAACTTTGTACTTCCTCTTTGAAACTACAAATATCTGTATTTATTTTAAATGGTATTCACATCCTGAACTACAGCAAGATCTCATAATAATTCCCCTTTTAAATGATGCTGGCTTCTCCATGGTTTTGTTTTCTGTCCAAAGTCTTCATGCTCCCTTGGATATTCTGTTAGGAATGAAGGGATTCTTGTCACCATTTCTTCCCCGAGTCCTCTCCTCCCCTCAGTTGGTACAGCCCCTGCAGGGTCCACATTGGATCACATGGTGATTGTCCTATACTTCAGCTGTCACTTCCTGGCTTCATGCTGTAGCTCTCTTTCCTGCCAACTCAGCTCACATAAACAACTCTCCTGGCACCATCTGAGGCCCGGGCAATGAGTTGCTCCTTCTCAGCTACAAGTCCCTACCTCCTCTGGGTGAGGAACCCATTCCCTTGTCCTTCAGAACAGAAGCCAAAGTTCTTGCAGAGGGACTACCATCCCTGTATAGTGTGGTCACCAAGAGGCCTGTCACCTCATCTCTTCCTACCGTCCCATCCCTAATCCCATCCTGTCCCCACCGGTCTCCTTTATATCTTCTCCCCAAGACATCACTGGCTAGTCTGTCTTGCAAAGTTCTTGGCTCAGATGCCTACAGCACTGCTCACCCTCGATCTTCTAGCAAGTCGCTTCTCAAAAGCCTCCTTTTCAGTGAGATCAACCCACACTCTATTTAAAATTGTGACACATATCCCCCACTCCTGCCCCAACCTCCATGGCCCTTTTGCTCTTTTATTTCTCCCACAATACTTGTCCATGTTTAACATTTTCTAGAAATCATTATTTTTGCCAGCTCCATGCAGGCAAGGATGTGTGTCTCTGCATTTTGCCCTCCCCTCCTCAGCACCTAAGATAGTGCCTGGCATACAATACATGCTCCATAAATGACTTATCTACTACAGAGAGGAAAGGGTGGTTTCTTTTGTGCACATTTTGTATGAGAAGTCTGCTGTATCCATTTTTAAATATTTTTTAAATTGATATATAATTGACAAACCATAAAATTCACCTTGCTTTTTAGTATATTCAAGAGGTTGAGCAACCATGACCACTGTCTAATTCCAGGACATTATTTTCACCCCAAAGGAAATCCCACACCGTTTGCAGTCACTCATCCTCCTCTCCCCAGCCTTTGGCAACCACTGTTCTACTTTCTGTCTCTCGGGGTCGTTCTGTTCTGGATACCTGGCCTTTGAGGACACATTCTTCCCTGAGTCCTGACCCTGCCCTGCTCTTCTTCCAACTGCCAGATCCTGAAGCACCTGCAGGAGGAGAAGGACAGCCAGTGCCTGCATGTGGAGGAGTACCAGAACCTCGTGAAGGACCTGCGCATGGAACTGGAAGCCGTGTCGGAGCAGAAGAAAAACATCATGAAGGGTAAACAGGGTAGGGGTGTCCTGCAGTCAAGGAGCCTGAAGGAAGCAGAGGCAGCACCCTGCCTTGCCCTCCTGTTGCAGACATGATGAAGCTCGAGCTGGAATTGCATGGGCTGAGGGGGGAGACATCTGCCCACATCGAGAGGAAGGATAAGGAAACCACCATCCTGCTACACCAGCTGCAGGAGCTGCAGTTGCAGTTTTCAGAGACCCAGAAGCTTGCTTTGAAGAAAGACAAGGTGAGACAACATTAAGGCAGGTGTGAGGCCAGGCTCGGCCAGGTTCTGCCTTCTCCACCTTCTGTGATTGCCTGGGCAGCCTCATCACATGCACAGCAGGACTGAGCATCCCCAGGGCCAGCTCTAAGGCCTCTTCAGACAAATGGGTATGGTCACGGCCAGACCGTAATAGAGGCATTGACCCTTTATAGGGTCAATATGAAAGAGGTTCTTCCCCAGCCCTGCAGTGTCTCAAGAGATTTGGGGACATACTTACTTGTATTGTCCCCTTGTACTTCCTTATGCTTGAGAATGGGAGGAAATTCTATTAAATAATATGCAATCTTATTAAAAACTCCACCTTTTAAAATTAAAAATATCAGGGCTAGAGCTATAGCCCAGTAGTACACTTCCCTAGCATTTGTGAGGTCCTGAGTGTAATCTGCAACACCAAAAAATTACAAATATCTTAGGAATACACAAATCAGGCAGCTTGAAAGTGTTCATGGTGCTATGTCCTAGAGACCTGAAGTTGCTAACATAAATCAAGTTCCTGAAAAAGCCTAGAAATGGAACCAAGAACAGAAAGCTTGTGAAGGCAGGGCAAGTGTTTATAGTTAGTACTATTCCAACTTTGAACTTTTATCAGAGCTATTAAAAATAATCCAGTGGGCCTTCATCCGGAGTTTCTCTCCGTGGGTTGGCCAAGCAGCCTGAGGCTCCTCGGCTGTGTTGCAGTTCCTGTCCACCGCACGGTGGGGTCCCAGGAGCGGCTTGGAGCCCCGCCTTCATCCGGTGCTCCACTTAGCCGTGTGGGCACCTGCAAGGCCCAATTCCATATCTCTCTCCCGAGCCCCGCCTTACAGCTCTTCTGCTACCTGATCCCTCACTACAGAGGCACAGGGTATTATACTTCACATAGTTAAATGTGATAGATTAATAACTACCACAAATTGTCATTTTCTAAGCTGCACTTGATGCTATGGTATTGCTGATTGTAA